TCACCATAAAGTGAACTGTTTGCAGTAATGCTGGAAAATAGAGATCCTATCACATAATGTATATGGATTGTAAGTGTCTAGAGTCATGGAATAAAATGGAAGCTTATGATGGTCATTTTTGTAAAGCATGTGACAGAGTTATATTAAAGATATTGGGCTTTCAGAGAGATGGCCCAGCAGTTAAGAGCACTGGCTGCTCTTCCAGAGGTCCGGAGTTCAATTCCCAGCAACCACATGATGGCTCACAACCATCTGTAATGAGATCTGGTGCCCTCTTCTGGCATGCAGGCAGACATGCAGGCAGAACACTATACATAATAAATAAATCTTTTTAAAAAAGATATTGGGCTTTTAACTTTGAATTGTTTGGAGTACCACTATCTATAAGCTGTCCCCACCCCCCCACAGTTCTGGGTCCTTGAGGCTCCCTAGACAGACCAATGCTGACCTCTCTGAAGAATGGCCAGGGTTGTTGAAGGGGGTAGAGGGATGGGCACCAACCATCTCTTCCATTTGACATCCATTAACTGGATATCAGTTGAATGCAAGGAGATTCAAAACTTCAGCCCAGTTACATAGCAAAAACTTTCATACCTGATTACTAGAAAGTCAAATTAAAAATCATAACTAGGGCTATAAAAATCGATTTGCTATAATTGTTTTTGAAGAGCATCCAGACAGTCGACATTAATAATAGGTAACCCCCTAAGTCAAACTGCATGGTCTGCCATTAGAAAAAACTAATGGTGGGCCAAGGACATCTTTGCAGGAGCAGCATGCTGAGAGGCGAGAGAATGGAGTTCAAACCTCCACTCTGGGTTTTGGCTACAAAACCTATTATGAATCCCATCTAAGCTACTCAACATTACCCAGCACTGTCCCAAAGTGTCTAGTTAATGAGATAAGTTGTTTCCTGCTGCTCAAAATATTAAGGTGAAGTTTTTATTTGTTTTGTTTTGCTTTATCATTCTGGGGATCAAACCCAGGGCTTCACATATGCTCAACAAGTGTGCTACATTCCCATTCCTCAGGTGCAGGTGAGTTTTTCCTAATTAAGTGTCTTTTCATTAGCAATACCCTAGTTCATACTTATCCATTAATTTTTAATAGGTTACCATTAAGTATAAGTCCCTATTAACACATAAAATTATGTAAGAAGTGCCATCTCTACAAAGAGGCTTTACTTTCGAGATACTGTCATGGGGAGAATTATCATACAAAAAACTTGGTTAATCACCGCTCATAAACTTATTTCCCTGGTGCATTTCTTTTAAATGAACTACAGTTGAAGCTAGTTTATTTAAGAAACTAAATATCACCTTGTATAATCCCTCTCAGAGTCTGGAATTCTTTTATGAAGGCTGCATAATACCAACAGTGAAACCAGATAGACACTCAATAAAAAACAAAACAATAAAGCAATCTCACTAACAAATACAGATGAAAAAGAAATCTCAATAAAATACCTGCAAACTGGAGGTGGAGAGAAAGCTCAACAGTTAAGAGTACTTCTTGTTTTTAGCAGCACCACTGGGAATTCCAGCCCTAGGGGACCAGATGCCCTCTCCAGACTGTCACAAGCACTGTGCACATATGGTGCATATGGACACACACAGGCAAAACACTCACAAACAAAATAAAATAAATGTAATTAAAAAAAAAAACACTTGTGTGGTAGTTCAAATGTAATTGGCCCCCATATGCTCACAGGTGCCCTAAATAAAAATGGCAAACTAAATCCGAGAGGGCATAAAGAAAGATCCTCCACCATGATTAAGTTGGCTTCATCCCAGAGACGCAAGGATGGCTCAACATATGTAAATCAACACAAGTAATCCCCACATTTCTGCTCCTACTTACAGGCATTTTACAGATTGTTGTCATTTTAAAACTGGTGTTTTTAATTAATCTAATCAGTTTTGCTACTTCACTGCTATTTTTACATGTGAGAGTTTATAAAATTAACCACTTATCTCTTCCTAGTTCATAGGACTTTTCAAAATAATATACAGCTGGTTCACTATTTCATAAGGGAGAAAATAAGGAAGAATTAATGTTAAATGTACACAAAAATCTTTCTCAAATATGAAGCAATGACCACAGCCCTCCAAATAGCCTTGAGGTCATTATGCAGGAAGAAATTATTTTGCTACTTCTCCAGATAACTCAGATTCAAAAGACTTGAGTTAGAAGAATATGTTTCTCTATCTCTACTGACAGTAAGAAAAACTAGAAATAGTTATTCTACAGGACCTTCAGCAACATCTACTTCCAAAAATCATTTGTAGTATGTCTTCTAAAACCATTAGAGAAAAACATGGCAAAGAAAGATGTATGGGGAGCAGCTTAAGAGATTTATATTAACATTTATAATCAATTTTGGTTTCCACTTTTTTACTTTCACTGATAATTTATTAGATAACTTCATTAGACATTTACAGGTATATTTTGATGTCTATCGTTCCAAACTGGTTATGAGAAGGCAGAATACTTAGCACTAAACCTATTATGCTAATGAACTAAGGCATAAGTCAAGATGAAAAACAAAAACCTATTTTATTCTCTCACTCAACATGTATTTACAGAAACAAAGTGTGTAGAGGAAGGGAATGTTTCCCTTTATCCCATTAAAATTCAATGACTGAGTCTATAAAATAAGCTGGTAACAGGTGGGCTAAGAGGACAAGAATACACAGAAAAAAGAATGAATACCCACACCCAATAGGACCCAGAAGCTTCTACCCATTCTTCTTAGGGGAGAGAAAATGATTTGGGGGCCAGCTCAGCAGGCTTAAAGAACAAGTGCTAGCTTGTAACTGAATGGGTGTGAGGTCACACCCTAGTCCTCTCCTATGACTTGACATAAAATTATGAAGGAGTTACATGGACATGATGACAATAGACTCCTCTTGGGAGGGGGGGTGAGGAGGCTATCTTAAGGCAGATGATGAAAGTTCTGACAAGCCCTGGATGGCGGATGGCAGGTGCTGCCTGCCAAGTGTCCTTAGTTGAAGTCGCTGGAAGATCAGCACCTGTGGCAGTGGTAATAAGGTAATAAGAGCATTTAAGACAAAGCTAGTTTTAAGGAGCTTATAAGAAATCAGGTAGATAAACAAACAAGCATCTTAAAAATCTGGTAGATACCACTTTCTTAGCTGAATAAAGACTGCAGGAGGACACAGGGTAATCTCTGAAGAAGGAGGCCTTTCAGTTTTCTGAACTTTTTTATGAATCTGATTTTTATCAGGATGAATTATTTTTTATTAGAGAAACTAAAATATGTCTATAATTAGATATGTGTTTTATCACAGCAACAGAATAAAATCAGAACACAGTTTTAAATAATAAAAGTAGAATACAAGAATTTTGAGTTGTTTGATTAGAATAATTGGCTTTATTTTGTAACTAGGAGTAGGGGCCTTGTTGCCATATTTATTGATAGCTAAATGTAGAGCTTGGAAAAAAGTAAGGCATAGCTTCTTTTAGCACTTGTAATGTATTTTTAAATTCTTGTCTGGTGTCTAGTCTATTACTTTGTAACAGATTTTTAAAGCCTTGTCTGATGTATCAGTCCACTTGTAATGATGTATTTCATTAGACTAGCTCTTTCAAAGTGCCTTTATAATGTTAATATTTTGTCCTGTTCTAGAAAAAAAAAAGAAAAAAATCAAACCAATTCCTATGTGTATTTGGGAAATGCATCAGCAGCCTTGACCCTCATGTTTGAGAGGCCCAGTCTGTGGAGACAGAAACAGTCCCCTCTCCACTTCAGTGAGTCCTAGTTACATCATTGACTGGTTTTCAAATTCTATAATCTTGTTTTTAGTGTCACTGCAGGCTGAATCATTCTTTCCATAAATGGCAGAGACTGTGATTCTCTGTGGTGCTTTTTATTTAATAGAACTCAACTGTCACTTTAAGTGAAAAAAATTTTGATGGACTATGAGAAATTCCTGTTAATGAAGGCTATGGCCTTCTGGCCATGAACACAGGGTGCCTGGTACTTGCTAGCTCCATTTAAAAATTGAATTATTTTGTAAAGTTAATTGTGAATTTCCAAGTATCCTTTAAGCATTATTGAATTCATTTACTCATTCTGCAAGATAATAGCCAGCAGAGGAGGCAGGGAGAGCTCTGAGTCAGTCTCGTTGACGATTATGACAAAGTAGAACTCAGCCAGTGAAGAACATTCAGATATTTGAGTTTAAACTAAGCCCCAAATCAAGGTTTTGTTCTCATTGTAGTGTTTAATGAGGCTTGTAGTATATTCTTTTTAACAATAACATTTAAATACTTCTCTTCCTAAAGTGTTAGAGTTTTGAATACAGATATTAAACAGTGAAGAACTAGGTGTAAGATATGGAAGTGGCCTGGAAGAAGATATACATATCCATATACCTCCCAAACCATGGTGGAATACAGACACATGTTCAAAGGAGGTAAAGGGGAAGAATCAAAATTGGCCCTCCATTTGACAAGTAGAACTGCATGTCACAAAACAAAGGAACCAAGTTGGCTAGGAATGTGTGGGAAGGGACAGTAAGTGGCTTCACTTATATTTAAAATACCTTTAGATGCAACGTCCTGATAATCTGTTTCTGAACTTTGCAAGAAATGTACTCCTTTATTTATAGAACCTATACCACAGTTTTATTTACACTTAAAATTTTATGTTTAAATTTTGCCAAAATCATATTTTAATGAAGTTTTTGGGAAATTACTAGAAAAAAATACATTCACTTCCCACATCTTTTTGGTTCTGTAGCAGATAAAATTGCCTCTGAAGTTATGAGTTCAGCAATTATATTATCTTGAGAAGTATTCCAGTAGTATGTGGGGTGGGGACTTAAAGAGCTTACACACAAGAGTCACACTCATGGGTTAGTTGCCAAGCAAATTAAATTAACCTCTAGTTAGCTCAGCATCATTTTACCTGTACCTTAATGGAATGAAGGCAAAATTCAATAAAGAATCCATAAAATGAAGTGACGTAGACCAACCTTTTATCGCACCCACAATGTTTTGGTCTAGTCCTTTCCGGTTGTCATTGAGTCCTCTTTTCCTCTTGCCATTAGGTAAGGAGTTAGCCAAAGTCTTGTCATCAAAAAATGCACACACCAGTTTTCTAAACAGAAGGCTTCCTGAGCGAGTGTAATTTGACAATATAGAGTCCAGCTGGGATTTCGGCATAAACACATCAAAGCCTTCAGCAAGTTGCACTTCTGGCTACCAAAAGAACAGAAATATTTCATTAAAAGCAAGATGTGAAACATTTTACTTTGGGCATAAGTGCAACAAAAATATCAACGGTGACTGAAATGTCCATGTTAATTATACAGCCTCAGTTATGTGTGCTGGAATTTACAATTTATAAAATCAATGACCACTTATAACTTACAAAATGGGATGCTGTAATTCCAATGGTAAGTAAAGTGGAACACAACGGAGTCAGAACTAGATCGACCACAGATAATTTATTAGGAAAGTACTCACTCAATGGAGCCAGTCCTGTTCAGCCAGGCAGGAGAGGGAAAGGAGAGCTGCATTCAAGAGTCCCTGATATTTAAAGCCTTGCTATGTCACTCTGACCATGCCCAAGAGGGCATGTTCAGCGTCACCTGTGCCAGCCCCCAAGTGGGCATGGTTAGCATTTCCCCCTACAGGTAAGTCTTATCCAAACACACTGAAAACACATTCCTATTCATATAATCATTTCAGAGGAGGCTGGACAATTACACAGTAATACAATTAAGGAGACATGAATCACCTACATGGAAAACCCTCACTTTGTAAATGAAGAAATCAAGGCTTAAAGAGACAATACCAAAACTGACTTCAAAATAATTCAAATGCAAGTAATTTCTTTCACTTAATGTGACAAATACAGGACTACCCCATAGGTCCGATGCTCCTTCTATTAGGGATAAATCTCATTTTACCACAACAAAAACTTATATAAAGTGACAATGCAAAATAAAAATGGCAGCTGGTTCCACAGTTTCAATCCTCCCCACACTTACTTGTGGGAGCAATGTCCCAGCCACACCCTGGAAGACCACTGCACGGGCTTCATTGTTTGCCAGGAACTTCCTGAAGTCCTACAGGGTGCCTTCAGAGAACATTCTAGATATTTGCAACCTGCCTTTTCACCTTGTTCACAGAATTTCCTTCTCAGAGCTTTTCCTAACTCCTTCCTGTCCACAGAGGTAGCCATGCACTCTTATTGTTGGTTGTTTACATAAGCATATATTAGTACTTATTATATTATGCTTTGTATCTCTGGTGTCTAGTACGAAGTAGGCACTTAGTAAACTTAAAATTTCATTAGCCATAATCTAAATTATTCTAATATTTATATTATATTCATGTAATTTCAATATGAAAACTGCACTGGATAGACTTAATGAGAATGAAAGGAATGCCCTACTTACCCAAGCTGTATATACAATCATAGCTCATCCCTAAATGTCGTTATTTGCAACTAGGTGAGGACTTAGGGTCAGTTTCTCTCCTGGTAAACAGAAGTTACTCTTTTTTGCTTGTTCTACTGTGTTCAAATGCTCAGCACAGTATAGCGTGAAGTGCATTCAGAACACAGCCTGCATTCGGACAACCAAGGAAGGTGCTTGGGTCTTGGCCCTTGAAAAAGGGGACTTTGGACTGGATTATCCAGAAAGTTATCTCAGTCTTCTGCTCCAGTTTGCCATTTAATGTTTGGTTTCTGAATGTCTGGTAAATATCACTGTAAAAACAGTGCTGTCAGATTTCCTCCTGACTTTTGCATCTTGCTGCTTGCTGGTCAAAGGTCTAGAGGAGCTTGACAGGAGCCAGAGGCTGAATACCTAATTCTTGCAATACAAGTACACACCAAGCACAAAAAAATACTTGTCAAGTGATCCAACGTCTCCTTAGAATGGAGAGAATTTTCCCATCATAAGGCAGACATGAGGTTTTATTCAAAACCAAAGTTTTATTTTTGCATAGCCTGTGAACTTTAATTCTAAATAAGCTCATCTCAGAGTTTTCATAGGAATCCCAGGATCATGTACAATCTATTAGATGCCTGCTGTCCAAGTGTACCCTGCAGCTATTTGATCACTTTGGGTGGTACAGGAGTAAGGCCTGCAACTTATTTAATATTGGGTTGGATTCTGATACCACTAACCTGGTGCTTAAAACTCAGCCACCTGACTTATGAGACTCCCAGAATTTCCCCAGGAGGGAGGACTCCCTAGCTTCAGACCTGAATAAAACACCAGGCAGAACAGCCACACCTTCTCTTTTTTTCTCCATTTTTTATTTGAATTAGAAACAAACTTGTTTTACATGTCAATCCCAGTTCCCTCTCCCTCCCCTTCTCCCTTGCCCCCCCCCCCCCCCCCCCCCCCTCTCCCTTGCCCCCCCCCCCACTAACACCCTACCTATCCCATACCCTTTCTGCTCCCAGAGAGGGTGAGGCCTTCCATAGGGGGTCTTCAGAGTCTGTCCTACCCTTTGGGATAGGGCCTAGGCCCAGCCCTGTGTGTCTAGGCTCAGGGAGTATCCCTCTATGTGGAATGGGCTCCCAAAGCTAGGGATACAGCCACTCCCTTCTTAATGCCTGCAGAGTACTTTCTATGAAATGTGTTTATAGCACTGTTCCACTGCATTTATTTAGTTGGGATGCACAGCTCTCATTATATTCAGTGTGCCAAGAATCCAGGTGGCATCCAACAGGTGTGTACCAGAATAAACAGAATGCTAAACAGGAGCTCAGCACAATGACAGGTCAGAGTTTTCTTTTCCCTCTCTACAGGAAGTGGTCTGCTAGTCTCATGCTGTGACTCGGCACAAGCCAGTGTCTTAGAATGATTGAGTGCTGGCTCCAGGAGAAGACTTGGAGAAAAGTGACCACCTGACTCAGTACCTACTACCTAAGTACCTTCTGTGGGGAGGGATTCAGGGATGGCTCTGCAGCCCGGACGCACATAAACACCACTGCATGCTGCACGGTAGGGAGAACGCTACCAGAGAGGTTCTGGGCAAGGATTGGCTGCTGGAGCTGTGGAGGAAAGGGAATGCCAGAGGCAGGGAAAGGAGTGGGACAGTACTTTAATAGGGTCAAGAAGATAAAATTTATGAGGCTGCAGTATAGTTATTATTTGTGGCATCTTCCATGATGCCTAAAAGTAGACATCTGGAGGTTTCTGTGGAGCCCAAACTTCTTATGGCATTGTAATTCTATGGTGTGTGATGCAGAGGGGCCACCGGGGCTTACGCTGTTGTTGCTTTCTGTTCTGTCTCCCACTGCCAGGCTAACACTGTTATTTTGAGCCGATCTTTCCAATTCAAGGAACATGAACTCATGCACTGGCAAGTACCTTATGGAAGAGTACATAGTGTGATTAGCTGCAACAGGCAGCAGCGTAAGGGCAAAGGTAACTAAACTAGCTCTTCCCTGCTCTTCCCTGTATCCAATTCAGACTTCTTAACAGATAGCAACAGAGCACTGAAGGTGTTTAAAGGTGCCACAATGCACTAATTACTTCAAAGAAAAAAGAAGAGGGGGAGGGCTAGCTTTATGCTGTGAAACACGAAGAAAACATGATACTAATTATCTTGTTTTCACTATGAAACCTTGCCATTTGTTCTACTTTATAAGCGTAATCATAGTACATTATCACCATATAATGAACCACAACTCTGCACATACATTTAAAAACAGGTTAAAACACTTCCTCTAGTTGTGGAATCATTATCTCTCTCTTTTTTATTGGCTTCAGTTTAAATGAGATCTGTTTACTGGTAATAGTTATGAAAACAAACACTGTTCTAAATAAGCATCATAAAAAAAAACAACTCTAGACTTTCCTTGACAGATTCACTGTTAGATGCTCAAGCCAAGACATAGATAATATACTAATTTGCAGAGTCTAATGTTTGGAAATAAGATGATGTTTAAATGATGACATCCAAATTATGGGCAAAATTTGCAATGTTTACAGTAATTGTTTTTAGGGTTCACTACAAATTCCTATTACGCAGTGTCTTACTTACTTTAGGTATCTCAGCCCCTGAGTTCAATATCTCAGTACTAGAAATTCCTTATCCATAGTGACTTCATCTTACACTGGTGATGTTCTAGAAGCAAAAACTGCTCCGTCCTAATGGCTCTTGAAAATGTCCCTGGACCAAGGACATCGACATTGACTATGTTGTTTCTTTACATTTTGGGGGTGGTGTTCCTTTTCTTAGACTTGGTTGAGGTTAAGATCTAGTTTAAGTGATAGATTTTCCAACAGGAAACTGGAAAGATACCTCTCCCATCCCTGCCACACACAAGTCCTGAGCATATCATAAGCTACTTAAAGAGATCATATAAATGAGTCACTCAGAGAACATATCTGATACTGGCTATTTTATATAAGATATTAATAGTACAAAATCAGAATAAGACATTTAACAAGTTGCACATTGGTTAAAAGAAAAAAAGAAGTGCCTACATGCTTATGTTGGCCCTTAGCCCCAGATTTTCAACTGTAAATTAATAAATGATACACAATGATTTTTCAAGCTCTGTGTTGTGCAAGACCCACATCTATAGGCACATTGCACAAGGCTGTATGAATAAGGTGATGTGAGCTGGAAACCAGAGTCAGGCCCGCTGGTAAGCCTCTGAATGGCTTTGGATGGAACCCTAACGAAAACCACAGAAGAAGAGGTAAATTCTGCTGAGTAAGATGGACTTTATGCCCCCCAAAACATAATACAAGACTGACAATAACGTTTAAAAGACACAGTTTGTCTGTTAGTAATACCACTATATATAATGAGCCTTTGTCCTATTTATTTAGCAGTGTATTTGATATATTTCTAGGAAAATGAGTTTCAGCTTATGAAAGAAAAAAATTTAAAACAAATAAAACCCATAACATTTGTTTTTGTTTTGCTCATAAGTGTTACCTTTTTTTAAAGAAAAATTAACATTATATCCTACAAATCAAGTCCACTTTGGGCAGACTTACTATCACCATTTCTAAAATGCTATCTCAAAGCACTTGGCCAATGAACAGCTGAGACTGGAGTCAGGTCTGCTCTGGCTGGCTCAGCAAGTCTGTCTGCTATGTTAAGCAGTCCAGCACAGGTGTGGTCTAAGGAGGAGGCTGAGCAGAGAATTCCCAGTGGTAATGGAACAGAAGTTGCTGGCTGTACTCCATTAAGACCAATATTTTAAGTAGATATTAAAA